TTTGGTTTTTTAAAAATGGTTGAGTGAAGATATCTTGAGAATTATCTGATCAATTTTGATTAATTTTTTTTTATTTAAATTCTATGAATTCATAGAATTCAAATAAAAAAAAATTTATCAAATTTGATTAGGTAGTTGTTAAGATATTTTCACTCAAAGTTTTAACAAAATTTTAGCATAATTTTTATTTTGATAGACATTTTGGTTTTTTAAAAAAGTTTGAAAAGATAACTAGACAAAAATTTGATCAATTTTGATAAATTTTTTTATTTGAATTCTATGAATCTATAGAATTCAAATAAAAAAAATTCATTGAATTTGATCAGATAGTTGTTAAAATATCTTTGCTCAAAGTTTTAAAAAAATTTATTATAACTATTTTGATAGATATTTTGATTTTTCTTTGATTTTGAGTAAAGATATCTTGATAACAATCTGATCAATTTTAATAAAAATTTTTTTATATGAATTCTATATATACATAAAATTGAAATAAAAAAAGATTATTGAATTTAATTAGGTAGTCATCAAGATATCTTTACTTAAACTTTTAAATTTTTAATTTTTTGTTAAAAGGTATGAATACCAAATGTAAAAAGTATAAATACTAGTTCTTTTTTTTTATAATGAACAAATTTTATTTAATAATTAAGCTTAGTTTACTTAATAAAAAATTAAATTGAATATATATTAAAATTAAAATTAATATTTATATTAAATTTTTATTAAAAACTAAGTTTTAGTACAAATAAAAAAATTCCAAAAAAGAGAATAGTGATCCTAGTGTAGTAGTTGAGTTGTTATCATTCAAGTAAAGATCTAAAGTTCAAATCCTACCTACAACAAAATTTGAAAAATAACTTGTATTATGACAAACTGTCTCTTAAAGATTAGTTAGATTAGTATATCTGTAACTTTAAGTTATATCATTTCGAATAAAAGCTTAGAACATCTATGCAAAGTGTAATGTTATATATATATAAAGAAATGTTAATAACTGATATTATATAAGACTTTAGTGCAAACTCATGATAAGACCATTGGGCACAATAAACTAAGAAACTAAAAAATTAGAAGTTTACTTAGAAATTTCTAAGTAAAGAAATAATATAAATTTTTGATAGTATAATTAGACTAATGAAAGCCTATAAAACACTTCTAAAGAAATAGGCAAATAAACTAGATAACAATATGTATAGAGGAACACATGACCAACCAGGCTGCCAGAATTACTAGAAGAAAAGAATACAATATATACCATATCAGGCTATTTGAATTGGAAGTCAAAGAAGTCCTGTTGGTCCTAAATAGTAATTAATAAGAGATAATAAAGAAGATATTGTAATGATAGGTACTGAGGTTCTAGTGAACTTTACAAGTATAGAAATAGTGTAATATAGCAGTTAAACAGATAATCTTTGTAACTGCAAGTGTTAGATAACTATAGCATATTGCAAAAAACTAGATTAGCTATATATAAGACATAAAAGATTTTAGTAAGTTTTTTATCAAGAATAAATTAGTTTTAAGAGTCTCAAAAGCATTAGGTATTTTGAATAGATATAGCCTAGAAGATGTTCTTGTGATTACAAATTAAATTATATATGCAAAGAGTTTAAATAGACAAGACCTGTAATTAACTTGCAAGTATGATATCTAGTATAGAACTTATATAGTAATGTATAGGTGGATTACTTAAATTAGATACCAAAAATGCACATGTAACTAGTTGTAACCTTCTATATATGGAAGTCTCTGAAGGTATCTATATTTAAATATTTGAATAAAAACATTGATCTTTAAAGACAAGAACTTTAATATTAAAAAAAAATTCTAAAATTTTTTAAACTTAATTATTTCAAAAAATATTGTATAGAATTTTATATTTTTTTTATTTAAAAGCTTTAGATTCGAATAATATTTTATATAATATTTAGTTTTATATCTTGTTTATTTAAATTAATTTAAATTTTTAAAAAGTATTTATAATAATATAGTACTTTATTGTATGTATAACACTTTTTAAAAAATAGAATCAGAAAAAATAAAATAAAAAAATATTAATTAAAAATCTAATTTCAAAAAAATATAAACCAATTAATAAAACCAAAATAGCAGTTTGCAAGTATAGTAACAAAAACAACTTAAAACATCTGTTATCAACAAGTTTAAAAAATATAATTTCAAAAAATTAATAAATAAGAAAAAAAATATAATAAAAAAAATAAAAAGAGAAACTTAAAAAAAAAAAATTAAGAGAAATATGATAACTTAATAAAATGATTAGGTTATCAACCTTCTAAGTAGTAGATTAAGTGTTCAAATTCTATTAACAGTGAAAAATTTAAATAATTATTTATATAATATTTATATTATAGTACTATTACCAATAATTAGATTAAGATATCTATAATGACAATTACATTAGTATAATTGGCAAGTTATAAGACATCTGTATAAATATGATATTGTACAAAAAAATACAAACTGACAATCAGATAATACAAATACTAAATAAGTTCTTATGTCTATATAAATCTGTTAAAATTAAATAACAAAAAGTCTATTTGAAAAAATCTAAATAGAAAAATAACTAGATCTTTGATAGCTTTAATATAAAAACCAACTTTATAAAACAAATACCAATATCAAAATAGTTAAATAAGCAAAAACCTTTAAATGTAAGGTACTATTAACTAGACTGTTAGAATAGAATAAAAAGAAAAAATATTAGACTAATCTAATATATCAATGAACTGATTATAGTTTTATTAGACTATTTAGATTGAAAGTCTAATGAACAGTCAGAAGTATCTAAAATATTTTAAATATGTTGTAAAATAAATACTATAGTCTGCATGAACTCTACAAAGATACAGTGATTTAATGATTAAACTTTAACTGTAAATATTAGTTTTGCTATAGCAATACTGAGTTAGCTATAAAAATAAGTATAGAAGGTTCTAAGAAGTTTAATTTAAAAATAAAATAATCCTAAGATTGAAACAATGATCTGAACAACTAGATATGACCAAGTAATATTAACACAAATTATAGATTTATAAGATTTAAAATGAAATATCCAAGCAAAGATATTAGATATAACAATTAGTAAAAAATCTTTAAACAGACTTCTTAAATAGATAATATAAAAAAATTATATATGCAGCCAATTGTATACTTTTCTGTAGTAGTTTACAGAATTACATTACTAAAAAAATCATTAATAAAAGTCAAAAGACCAAAAAAGTCACCTTAACATCAAAAAAAAAAAAAAAATTGGAACAACAAAAATAATCAAAAAATAAAAAAATAAAAAAAACAAACAAGAAAAAAATTAAATTAAAAAAAAAATCAAAAAAACAATATTAAAAAAAAAACCATTTTATTATAAACTTAAGTAGTCAAACAAGCAACTTACTTCTGTTTAAAATAATGCAACAAGTTGTACTTAAATATCATTAAAATAACCAGATAATGCTAAACTTAGTTGTTTAAATATCTATATTTAATTACAAAAGTAAGCTCCAAAAGTAGGCTCAAAAATCTTAATAAAATACTAGTATAACTGCTTAAAAAAAAAAAATCAATATTTGTAAAATATTAATTTTTTTTGAATTTAATAAGTAATAAAAAAACCAAACTAAATATATAATTTTAAATTAGTAAATATTAGTTGGTTAAATAATTTTTCCACCATTCTTCAAACCTAATACAATCTACATTAATCTTTAGATTAATAAGTTGATCATTTGACAAATGACAATTAAATGGACGATTTACTATAAAAATTAAATATAAAGATTTAAACTTAAATAAATAATCTAAAAAACCAACCAAATAACCTTATTTACCAGCTAAAGCAACAGGTACATGATCAATTGGTTCAATATGGTTTATTGAAACTTGCAAAATTTTAGAAAAAACTTCTAATAATAATAAAATTTAATAATTATTAATATAAAATATACCAAAAAAATTACAATAATAATTTATTACTTGCCACATATTTCGTATTTTGTAAAGTTTTCATTACCACTAAAATGCAGAACTCCGGAAATTGGAACATGTTGCTCGATATGTTTTTCTATTATATAATTAAATTATTTTTATAAATTTAAACTTAAGAAAAATTTAACATAAAAAGAAAAAACCATAATACATGTTTTTACCAGAGATATCCCTAATAACTCTTGCTACATCCTGAACTATCGGAAATTAATCATGCAGATACGTGAGATTTAAATGTATTAATTGCTCAAAAATGAGAAGCTACTTATTGTTTCTTTACCATTAGTAGGATATCTAATTGCATAGTGATCCATCTCGACTTTCTTTGATGAATTCTATTTTGAAAATATACAGTTACATTTATGATATTAATTGTCGTCTAAAATTATCTGACGCTGAAATTTGGGGTCCTGATACGCTCTACTAAAATCCACATATACTCCTTAATTCTCGATTATAACCCTAAATCCTAAACATATCATAAAAGAACGTGGAAAAAAACAGCCCAAAAAATTTTTAAATTTCATATAAAAATAGGTCCAGGTTTCAGCATCAGCTACCACATTAATTGATATTTTGGAGGTGCCAGTAGAAACCAAGCAAATTGCTTTTAAGTAAATTTTTTTAAACTTTAGAGTAAAATATCTCAACAATTATTAAACCAAACTTGATAAAAAAATTTTTATTTTAATTCTATATAGTTATAGAATTAAAATAAATAAAAAATCATCAATTTGGTTTAATAATTGAGATATTTTACTTTAAAGTTTAAAAAAATTTACTTAAAACCAATTTGCTTGGTTTCTACTGGCACCACCCCATTTGCTTTTGCCCCATTGATAAGAACCTTTACAGAATCCACCAAGGTATTAACTGCAGACTCCCCAGGAAATTCCACCTCGCCATATCTGTATGATTAATGAGGTCAAGGATTTACAAAGTGTCATGAAGACAAGTATAACAAAGAAGGATTAACTAAAAAGTTCTAATTACAAGATTGGAACACGTAAAATCACAGCCTGTCGGTTTGCATTTTGTACGGCAAGTTCACCTTGATATTTTGTCTCTCCTGATGTAAAATGAATATCCTGCATTATTCATAATACTGTGAAGGAATTAGAATGAAATATTAAAAATTTTCCTTACCATAAAAATTCAATGGATTCGGCTTATCGTTCACGTCATAGGGAGGGTTTTTTCCATCAAATACATAATCTGTGGAAATTTGAATGAATAAAACATTGTAGACCTTAGACAATGAAGCAATGTGAGCTGGAACATTGACGTTGAGCTAATAAAAAAAAAACACCAAAATATGTTAGGCACTTCAAATGGCAAAGCATACCAATTTAATAAAACTGGATAAAGAATACTTCGAAAGTTGCTTCACGATTTTCTTCAGCTACATCAGGTCTTCGCTCAGCTGCAGTATGGATGATTGCTAAATAAGGTAAGATAAAGTAGAAAAATTAACATGTAAGATAATTCAAATGCATTAAGTAATTATAATGGTTTTTTGTTCTAACCATCTGGTTTTAATTCTTGAATCAATGCGTCCAATTTATCTTTGTCAGTTAGATCAAACTAATATTGTATTTATAAACATGAATGTAAATTAAAGAAATTTATGTCTAACAATACCAAAATATAAATTCTAACCTGTCTCAAACCATTTTTCGCACGGCTCTTAGCAAGGCCAGTTACTATATTTTACAAAAAATATATATTAACTATACAAGTAGCTGCATTGAGGTAAACATAAAACCTCACCTTCATGGCCAGCCTCACAAAATGCTTTGTAAACGGCACGACCTAATAAGCCTGAAGCACCTGTTACAATAGCTCGCATTGTTTTTTTTTAGGATGATTTAACACAACTTTTATAATCAAATAAATAAAGTTCCTGATCAAAGATATTCTTTTTGGGTAGGATCTACTCGAGTAAATTAGGGGACCTTTCTGAAATTAGCATTAGGATTGGCTGACATGAAAGAGTAGTAACTAGAGGATTTCGTAAGGATCCACGCGATTCAGAATCCAAATTCAGTCCCAAACCATCTCTTAAAGATATTACTTTGATCAGTATGTAGAGAACATTACTTATGAACTCCATGCAAATATCGATATTACATAAGATAACGACATCTTCGGCTGCTTGATTTTTAATTAAGGGAATTTTATATGAAAAACTCTTCAAAATAAATCAAAAAAATAGAAGAAAATTTAAACAAAACCTAAATAAGCTGAATAGTATACAAGAAAATAACCACAAATGCAAAAGACAAGTTTTAACAACTTTAACTAATAGAAACATATCAAACAATAAAGCAAACAAAATTATTAAACATAAAAAGAAATCTATAATGAACTTGGTTTTTTTTAAAAACAAGACAGAATATATACCAATATACTCATCAAGAAATACTAGACAAGACAATATGTATGAACATCCAAAAAACAAAACAAACAAATAATACAAATATAATTACAATTAATATCTAAATTAAAAAAAAACATTACAGTTTTTTACACTCTGTTGTATATTATATAAAAAATTTTAAAAATATACAAAACAGTTTATTTTTGACAAAATACATAACAAAATTATATGTCACACATAACAAAATAACAACAACTATAATTAAAAATAACAACAATACAAAATAAATTATTAGTATAGTATAATATATTTGTATTATTATTAAAATGACCTTTTATAGGTGATAAAAATTAGAAATATGACAAAAAACATTCAGATAGAGTTTTTTAAGATTAAAAGTTACAGTAAAGATAGATGAAATGATAAAACTGATAGTTTAGTAAAAAAAGATGCAACAAGTAAAAGAATAATACAAATCAAAAAAGTTGCAAAAAGATAAAGTACTGTCTAGAGTAGAAAAACAAATATACTAACATACTATCAAGATTGTTTTGCAAATTAATAATGAATGCAAGATTTGGAACATAATAGAAAGAAATAAAAGCAATTAAAGAACTAGATCCAGAATCAGAGTTATAATTTATGATTGAATATATTTTTGAAAAAAACTAAAGATAACTAAAAAAGTACACTGCATAACAAGAAGAAGTAGTATTAGAAGAAGTGCATTTATAAAGTGTATAATAGACAAACTTTCAATATTAGAAGAACTTAATATAAGAAAACCAGAAATATATACAAAAACAAAATGCCAAATATATTAGAATAAAGCAAAAAAAACACAGTTATACTTAGTAATATATAAAGAACAAAAAATCTTTAGAAAAGAATTCAGAAACTAACTATTGCAACAGTCTAGAAGAGACTAAAAGAAAAAAAAGTTTAGATTCTTTTATATATATTATATATAACACTTTTTAGAAATACAAAAGCAGAAAAGATAAAAATAAAAAAAACACTAATTAAAGATCTTATTCTAAAAGAGATATAGGACAGACTAAGGCAGCTTCTAAGTATGAAATCAAGATAGCAATTTATAAACATAATAGCAAGAATGATCTAGAATATATTCTACAAACAAGTATAGAGAATCTGATATAAAAAAATTAATGAATAAAAGAAATATAAAAGAATAATAAATAGAATAAAAAAAAAAAAAAAAAAAAAAATATTAAGTAAAAAAAAAAACCAAATTAGTAAAAAATAGAAAAAAGAAACAAAAAAGCAAGAAAAAATAAAAAATAAATTAAAAAAAAGCACAGAAGTTAATTTTAAAGTTTGTTTTTTTTTTTTTTTTTTTAAGGTGAGGTTTTGCTCATATCTTTATTAATTTGTTAAAGAAGCTTCCAGGGGCTTCTCTGGATATAAATTACAAACTTATTTCAATTACAAATATATTACAAGAATGGAGCTCAGACTATA